ATCCTGTGGATGCTGACAATACCTATGAGTTGCATACCTCACCTTTGAGGTTGCTTGGAGAGTGTACAGGAGATCCAGGTATTGGCTTTTATCAACAATGCTTCAGGGAAACTCACGCGAGATTGTTGAACCATGTTTGTTTCAGAAAAGGTGAGCTTTCCCATCCTCACTATCAGTCAAGGATCAACGAGAACGACTTTGTTCGATCCATGTCTAGTACCTCCACCTGATTGTTATGAGGATAGCCGCGAGCATGACCTGAAGAGATTTTTCATCAATGATGATCGCATCGTTTATTTGGATGACAAGTATCAGGTCGATCCAAGGGCCCTTGAAAGGGCAGAACAAGCTCGAGCAGATTTGGAGGTTACAAAGGAACAGTTTAGAGGAGAACTGGAATCACATGGTCCCAAGGGACCCAGTTGGGACCATGTCGCCTTCTATGAAGAGCTGTGCCAAAGGTTCCTCAAAGGAAGAATAGAAGAACAATATGGAACTAATCTATTGGCCAGCTCAGAGTCCTTGACATTTTTACCCTGGAACTATGGAAACATGGTTCGTGGTCAGAAATACACCACACCAAAGTTTCTCCAAGGACTTGATCGTGCAATGAAGCCACGCAAGCAGAGTGCCATGTCACTTCAATATGAGCAATTTGAAAACAACCTTTTCTTCAACACGCTCTTCTTTTTATGTGCGCATGTCGTGATTCTCCAGGAAGCTCATCTCCTTGTTCCTGCCAAGGAATTCATTGAGCAAAAGAATTGGACAGTTTGTTTCAATGATTGGGAGAATCTTGCAGTGATGGCTAGATTGGCACCAGATGGCTATATCAAGATCATTGCTGGACATGGCCAAGACCTTGGTCACTGTCAACAGCGTGATGTAACTTGGGCTATCTATGAGATTTGTTTTGGAGAAACAAGGCCTCGTCAGGACTTCAAGGATGCAGACTATGAATTTGAGGACTATGGTCCTAAGGACCAGCGTGTTCCACTTACTCGAGCGAACATGCATACTATCAGAGTCTGTAATTATCATGTTGACACACACCGTGCTGTAGATGCCCACCTATTGACAGGAGAACAGACAGCGTTGATGCTTTATGAATGTTTTGTATATGAGGTGGACATCATTTCTGGTGATGCGAATAGTTTGGCCTACAGAATGTCTGGATACAAAAGGCAGCCAATGGCTAACTATTATTACAGCACCATGCAGCATTGGATCCGCAGGTTTTCAGAAGCCCGTGTAAAAGCAGATCCTGGTATCAAAGCGCCTATTCCCAGAACATTTTACAGTTCATCTTCACATGTCCTCAAGCAGTGTGAAGCTTACTTTGAGAAACTCTGGGAGGAATACTCTACAGAAGACAAAGAAATATACCAGGGATCAAAGCTTGGCGATACTTGTTTGTCTACCATTGTTGAATGGGGTCATTCAATGAGTGAAGAGGAATATACAAATTCCACAGTGAGCACGAAGGAGTTCATCTGTAATTTTTCAGAGAACTTTGCTCTGATTGACACGGAGGTTATGTGCTCCAGACCCTCTGACGATGACAGTCATGGTCCAATGTTTATTTCACTCAGACCAGCTTCATTTTCATTTGGAGACAGAAGACTTTATCGCTCGGGCGAGACTCTTCGAGATGCTAACTTACGGAGGAAGGAGAGACAGAAAGAGAATAAAAGGAAAGGAAGGCCGCCAACTTCTGATCAAGCAGCTCCATCGACTGCAGCGGCATAAAACTCAGAGCGGAGGCTAACTTTTAATGAGAGCTAGGAAGTGAAGATACTTCTGATCACAGTTGATACTTTACTTCCAGGCTTGACTTTAAGTTGCCAGGCTGAAGTTTAATGAATCCTGGTTTGCCACAAGGAGAAACTTTTTGTCAAAGAAGATACTCCTGCATTCCAGGTTTATACGCTTTAGCATGCAGATAAATACAGTTTCCTAAACGTTTATTATCTGCAGGTAGGTATGGACAGTTTTTCAGAACTGATGATAACTACCACAACCGCTCTTTTGAAGCGACCTCTAATGGACAACCATTCATGGTTGATGATTAAGTCATTTTATGAGTTGCAATTGTAGTACAAGTTTTGTACATACATTTGCCGGTGTCTCCTTCCTTTTTGTTTTTGATGTCAATGAGAAAGAGTCCTTTTGATGCATTTTTAATTTTGTGTAAGTCCTGTGTATGGAAGCGGCCGAGACCACTTTTCGAGAAGACCACTCCTCAGACCGAGAGTTGACGCTCCTTGCATTTTGCAAGGCATCTTAATTCATTGCATTTTGTGCGGTCTTGAAAATTTTAGTTCTTCGTTACGCGAGTGTCGTTTACTGCTTTTACAGGTTTGTGTGCAAGAAAGCCGCTTTCCTTGAATTTATAGTTTCTTAACAGCTCTGGCTATTTAAGGGCTATTGAGCGCCGGTACATGGTATCTTCGCCGGTGAACGATACAGTCTCCAGCCGAGATACATTGTCTTTGACTTTGTATTTGAGGTGAGTCAGCTATTGCTCCCTCACTGTATTTAGTATACCTAGAGATTACCTTTTCTAAAGTGTGCAATACACTGGAATTGGTAAGTACAGGGCACCGTGGTTTCCTTTTAAGCTTACTAGAGCTTGCTGGACTGTTTTAGCCTTGCGGTAGAAAAATAGTGTGCGACATACGCAATAGGCAGGAGTGGACATGAATTTTGTGCCTGCTGAAATGTAGAGGCCTACTTGTACAGGTTCCACTCCAGTGGCCTATCTAGTGTGTCCATGCTTGACTGCCATAAGGCTCAAGAGGATAAGACTCTGCGCATAAAAGACACTAGCGGTCTGCACCTCAACCGTGTACGCCCTAGTCACTCTTTCACCCCCTCCCCCCCGTGGGTTCAACTCCCCCCTCAGACGCCTCTGGGACACCTCTCGGGCATCTCTTATGGCATCCACTTTGGCTTAACTCCTCCGGGATACGGTGCAACAGATTCAACAAGCTCACATGTTCATGACATCGACATCGATAGAAGAAACCAAACAAATCTTGCAAGCAGCTTTGTTTTGCCTCTGGGACACCTCTTGGGCACCTCTTATGGCATCCACACTGGTTCAACTCCTCCGTGGAGGTTTTGGGATACGGTGCAACAGATTCAACGAGCTCACAGGTTCGTGAACACATCGGATGCATCGAACAGTGTGGCAAAGTCCAGCCACGCTTCCTTAATTATCGGGGACTTCAATTCTAAGGTTGGCTGTGTCATTGCTGTTTGTGTGTCTTACATGTTCACAACGTTTTACCTCATGAACATTTGCCTCACTCCGCTTGATGTCCCACCAGTCCGGATGCACCCCTGCTAGCTTTCGTCACCTACCCTCGGCCTCAAGTTTCTCGGGGTATGAGGCCTTGATTCTGACGGTTTGGCGGAAGAATTAGGGGTACCTCGAGTTTTTCGGTCCCTGGGCTGTTGACGGCGTGGTTTGGCCGCCGTTCTTCAGGGGACAGTGAGAGAGACGTTTTTTTTGCTGAACTTGAGTTGGTTCACTTGCATATACTTGCATGTATTTCCGACTAAATCGGCCTTGCTTAGCAAAAGGGAACCGATGCTGCGAATTTAAGTCTTTATACATATATACACATAATATACATGCACACCTTACGAGAAGGGCAAGGTGGCCCTTGACTTACCAGCCACCAGGTTCCAGATGACGGAGGTTTTAAGTTCCAGCATGGTCGTCAAGCCGAAGGGAAGAATGTGAAGATGGTTTTAGAGCTCTTGTCAATCTCATCCCAGGCCCCTGAAGACATTGTGACTTCGCTGGAGTTGCCGCCGCACCAATCTGCCGTTCTGCAGTCGTTGCGGTACTTCGACTATTTTCAAGGAACAATACGATTTCCAAGAGGATCAGTATACATGGGAAATGCAAATAGATCTTTGCACATCCGCGGCTGGTTGGGCGCGACACATGGAATATTTCTGAATTGCTGGAATTGTGATGCTTCGAGCTGCACATCGGAAAGAGCTTGTTGTGGAAGGAAACCAACTCAAACTGACTGTTTTGATGGGGTTCACTTCACCAAGAACCAGTGTTGTGATAAATTCCTGCGAGAATACGACAATCATCCAGAACTACTTACTGCTAGCATGTACACGTCATTGGGCATCGAACAAATCTATCAGCGGTTGACCGCTCGTAGGCTGGAACACTTGACCAGCTTGGCACTGCCTCTTTGGAACCGCAAAGTTTTGGAGGTTGGTGCACGACAAGGGGATTTGACGCACTATTTCACTGACAGAGGCTGTACTGTCACCATTGTGGAACCCAGGATGACCAACGTGCTGAACCTTCGAAAAAAGATCGCATTGGGAAAGCTCTTTCCGCCAGATGCAGTCAGCATTTTCTCAATGGACTTGGAGAAGCGGATACCAATCGGCCGGTGGGATATTGTGTTCTGCTTTGGCTTATTGTATCATCTCGAGCGGCCGCTGAGATTTCTAAAGAATGTGGCACCTCTCGCGGAGGATATCCTATTGTTGGAGACCGTGGTTTCTGCCGAAGTTCAAGTCGTTCAAGAATCTTCAGTTGCTGACTCTATGGCATTGTCTGGACGTGCTACCCAACTGCGAAGGCAGGATATATTTGAGGCTCTAAAAGGCCTGTTTCCTTACGTGTACGTTCCAAGCACCCAGCCAAACCATGATCAGTTTGAGACTGACTGGGCCTCTTTCCAGTCAGGAGCGAGGCGTGCTATCTTTATTGCAGCGCGACGTCCACTTTCCAGTCCTGTTGCGCTGCTGCAAGAACTGCCTATGATGCAGACTCGCTCGTCGTGAAGCTCAAATTTTAATCTATGCAGGAATCATTTTGATCCCCATCAAGCAAAAAGGAAGCTGCGTGGTTTGGAGCTGACTTTCAAATGCCTTATGTCTAGCTTTTGGGGTTTCTTCTCCTTGTCCTGCTTCGCTTACAGCGCTTACAAGGAGAAAGATTCATGGTGACCTGCCAGGCAAGGGATCTAAGAGGGCAAACATGCTTGCACCTTGCATCACAAAGTGGAGATCTAGGCTTTAACCTCAGAGATCTCAAGAGATGTCAAAGTGATGACACACTTCGTCCTCAAATTTGAAACACCGTCTTGGTCGCCTTCGCATCGAGCCTTCAAGCTCAGGCCTTGTGCAGGTCTTGCTGGACAATCGAGCGCAACCAAACGTGCAAGAGGAAATTGTAACCATCACATCACTGAGTGATTCTACTTGCTTTGCACTTGCCATTCATGTCGATTCACCTAAGACAATTGGATGACACGGTGTCAGGGGTAGCCACAAAGCATGTCGCTGGGTTCGTCAGAGCTGGGGCTGTATCACAGCTACCCCAACAAAAAGCTTGCATATTCACAGACAGGAGACGACTGGCTGGACTCCGCTTCACTTTGCAGTTTCGAAGGTGCTTCTAAATTCTAGCCTAGCCTTGTGTGAGGCTTTGCCTTATTGCGGTATCGGCATTGAACTTCTCACAGGACTCGCTGTCTCTGGTCAGGCTCATTACAGCATCATTCTACAACTGCTGCAGCATGGAGACACCGATGTCAACCAGGCTCTTTCCAGCTCCTGTAGGTCTGTGTTATGGTCTTTGCAGCTTCAGTTTTGTAGTCTTAGTTGACTTCAGGTAGACAAGTTTGAGTGGCCTCCTATCCTGGAAGCGTGTTCCAGGCGTGCTCTTTTCTGCGCTGAAAGTCGAGTTTGCTTGTTGTTGAGAGTTTTTCTGAGGCTTGATGCTCGAGCCACATCCCTGCTAGTAAATGGCAAAGCCAATCTGTCTTTCCGGTCAGGCCCCAAGCGAAAGACATGCCATGCTGATGCTTTTTGCCAAGCCCACATGCCAAAATTAATGCTTCTGGTTTGGACATGCGCTTGTGATTCTTCTGCGTAAGGAACCAGCACCAGTTTGACGTTTTGAAGGCAGTGGACACATCAAAGAAGGACCATGAGACAGTAGACCCTCAAGATGGAGCCTGATGGTCCATGCTGTTGTTTTGCTGGGCGAGTCGTTTCAGAAAAGCCACGCAAAGTCAGAGCTTGCTCGGAGAATCTAATGTTATGAGGACTTGGCCGCCAAGCGGTGGATGTCGTGCTTGGTGGTAAGCAACGGCTTCCGATTTCAGGAGAGATTTCTGAAGCTGGCTGGAGAACCACCAGCGTTGATAATCCCTCACACAGCTACATATACATACATACATACAGTATATATATAATTTTATAAATATATATATATATTTACATACAAAGTTTCAAAAGCTTTTTCCATCGTTTGCAAGGAGACCACCGTGCAGCTGACTGCTGAGGCACCTTGCTTGATTTGGCTGATCTTGATTTGGTCATTCAATTTCACAGTCATTCGTGCCAGGACCGGGATACTCTGCAACGGGAACATGCCTTTTTCAACAGCCGGACCATTCCAGCTGAAGTCCTAGCTTTCTAGATTTTCTTGGATTCTCCTTTTTCTCCTGGATGTCACAAGTTCAATGGGTTGAGGGACTTGAGAGATGCAGATTTCACCGCTTCGGTGACACTGATCGCCCAGGCCACACGTCCTCCTTTCTTTGTGCCGGATCACCTGGCCCCACGATGTCACAACTGCAAGGCTGGAGAGTTCAAGATGTTACAAGCATAGAAAAGACACCGTAGTAAGGACGCTACTAGGGGCTCCTGGCATCGCTACTAGGAGCAAGGACGCCAATGTGTCGTAAACCATTCGTGCCGTGTAGTCGAGACTCGGGGACGGTATGTCAGTCGCGCTGAGAACATACACAGAAGCTCCCCAGTCGTAAAGGATTTTCCACGACCCTGTTGTACGGCCCGCACCACCAAGATCCGGGCTAAAAGAAGCAAGGTGGAATTACTTTGCCCTCCTCTTTGGCCATCCTTGGTTGAGGGTCCCCGGAATTGCCTGTGTACCTGTCTCTTTGGCCTTATATTGGAAAGCAGGACAAACTCTGCTGCAAACCGAGTGGATGGTCGTGTGTTCGTCCTGACCATCAAAACGAAATCCTTCAGAGTAAAAAGTGGCCGCAAGCCTGCAGTTCACATGCAAAATCACATTCCCGCTTCCAGTGCTCTTCTGAGTGTTGCCACCTTTTGGAACAGCAAACACAGTCGGAACTTTGGGCCTCCACTGAAAGTCGGCAATGCGCGCACTGAATTACCCTTTGCTGCCTTACATATTTTTACATCATCACGCCACTCGTTGGTGACAAGTATAACATCTGGAGGTTCTTTTCTCTGGTTCAGTTCGTTGTTAGCTCAGTTGCTCAGTTGTGACACCTAGGAAGCAAGTTGGGCACCTTAGAAGACTCACCTAGGTCGCTACCATTGCCGCAGTTGTGGGCTGGTGCTTTGTGGCAACTGCTTCAAATGGAGGCCTTGGGAGGTGTTATATATAGTCCCAGAGTGTTATCTACAGCAGAGCGGCATTTGCTTGCCAGACATGATTGTGCGCTTCAAGGATAAGCAATTAAGTGAAGGTGTTGCTAAATGAAGGAATTGGGCCACCTTGTTGTCTTGTTATAGAGTGGTCCTACCTGCGGAATTGCGGCTCAGAGTGCCACTTTCCCTTGTGGCCTTCCGCTTCGTGTGGCTTTGATGCAATTGAAGGGTGGCCACTGTGTGCACAAAGTCTCCTCAGCACTTGAAGACTAAGGCGGTGCATGAAGCGAGGCCCATCTCAAGAGCATCGGCCCAAGCATTGGTGTATTGGCTTGTATTGGTGTTTTGGTTCGTTTTGATTGCTCAGCTTGGAATGTGAGTGCCAAGGCGAGAAAGTCAGGTGAAGAGACCTAAGGAGGCAAGTTCTACTTGTCATGCTCGAGAGACATCCCTTTTTCTTCAGCTCAACTTACGCAGATGGATGGAGCCGCAGCTCCTGCCATCTCGGCGGACAAAGAGCACGTGATGCTCGTCAAGGTCAAAGCTTGAGAGAATCTTTATTATGCTTATAAACTTCCCAAGTTTGCCCCTGTGACCTCTCGACTGGTTTCCTTCTATCCCAGTCACTTCTGGTCTTTGCGTTTCATTGTTTTTGTCTACCCATGGCTGGATGTCGCAATGTCTTGGTGCCTCTCTCCGTCTATGCCAGTCTATGACAAGTGCAACTTTTCACAGTGGTTGGACGTTTTTCATGGGACGTGCCCCTAAGAAACCAAGTAGCCAAGTAGCACGACATGCTATTGGGGTAAGGCAAGTAGCACGACATGCTATTGGGGTAAGGCTGGTGTACCTGATTTTCATTTGCCTTTCCTTTATTATTTTTTTCGCTTTCTGCAAGCAGTACGTGCCTTTGCTGCAGTTGATGTGAGTCAAGGTGTTGCAGCTGACGCAGCAGCCTGCACAAAAGCTTAGCGTGTCCAATGCCTGACCCTCACTAGCCTTCAGATCCAAATTTACGGGTTAAGTTATATGACATGTGACACGTAAACTGAAACAAAGGTTGGTGAGTTTCTGGATAACGAGGCGAGTCATCACAAGATCTGAAAACTTGCGTGTCCAGAGACATAGCTGCGCAGGCCTCTAGAATCGCTCAACAAAGAGGTTTGGAAGAAGCAGTGATGTTCCTTGCCCAGTGTTGAACTTAGAACATTTGAATAATATAATTTCGGATCCATTGGACAAGTTTGCTTGGTTGGGGCACATGTCTGAGGGGATGGAGGAGATCTGAGGAGCGCCACAAGTCTATGCTTCAATCAGAGGGGTTCCTTCAGCGAAGGAAGGAGGAGTGGTTCCTTCCACCTGGGATGGCATTGCGCCACTGCAAGAGGCTGCCGAAGCTGGTTTTTGTGGCGATCACTAGAATCGCTTTACCTGGAATCACCACAGCTAGTGGAGCTCGAGGACCGATGAACCTGATGTCAGGCTCAAATCCCGCGACTTACGTGACAAAACCCAAGACACAGGACACCAGAGGTACAAATACTAAAACACGGCAACCAGGTTAGATCAACAATTCAAGAGATTCTGCAGGGATCACTGCCAGTCGGCCACATCATCACGGCACTGATGCAATTGGACTCATGGCAAACCAGGCAAGCATGCACAGATCAACTTAGATGACCACCCATCACCTCACTACAAGCAACCAAAAACACACAATCTCAGTCCGGCTGGATGACCTAATATAATATAGATGACACTACAACCTATCAGAACAAACTGCCACGTTTCACAGCAAACCAAAACTGATTGATACTTGAGCCATCACAAGAAACCACATAATTGTCAACCACTACAATGCAACCATAAAGCTTCCGCGGGATCAGGCTTACTTTCTTGCTTTGGGCTTTGGGCCTTGATTCGCCAGCAAGGCTCAAACGCCCCAGCTCGATCCTCTACCCAGACTTGGATGTGCGACCGAGACCGCCCGCAGTCGTTGGAGATGTGTGGTGGAACTGCTAAAGGCCAACCGATCCACCTTATAATGAAAGGACATCCACATCCATCCAGTGCATCCACAAATACACCCATGCAGCCAACAAACTATCAGAAATGCAATGACATGTCCCACATTTTCTTTTACTGGTATCATGAACTAAGCATGTTTAACCAGCCACATATCGAGTTAAACGCTGATTTTCCCTTTCCGGAAGGTCGAAGAAAGATAGGATTCTAGAGCAAACATGCTCACCACCCCCAAGCCAACTTGCTCAGAAATGTTGATGCAAGCGCCGTGGCACCTTCAGTGCGGGCAGATTTGCTGCAAATGCAGTAGCTTCTTGCTACTAGTAGCGATGCCAGGAGCCCCTAGTAGCGTTCTTGCTCCTAGTAGTAAGGCCAGGAGCCCCTAGTAGCTTCTTGCTACTAGTTGCGGGCTGCCTCACTATATAAATCACGCCTTTCCTGGAAGGCGGTTCAAACAGCCTCACTCGCGCTTTTGCTGGGTGCCTCCTCTGACCAGAAGGCAGGATAAGTCAAATGAATTCACTTTCGACCTTCCAGCTTGACATCAGTAGATCTCACCACAGCTCCTTCAATTTGTGAGGTCACACTCATCCTTGGGCTTCTGAACAATCGTGTGCCAATAAGGCTTCATCCAAGACTCAGACGAGTTTCCTTTTGAAAGCAAGTGGGTTCTTGCTTGGCCGCACTACAGCCAGGCTCATGAATGAGCTCTTGCTCGCAGCTGCTGAGGACATCATCATGGCTGATTGTAAGATCTATGGTCCCCAAAGAGCAGGATTTGGTGTAGGTGCCAGCTCAAGGAGCATTGGCCAAACTATTGCATACTCTTAACTGGCCATCATGTGGCAGAGACAAAGAAGGGTTGCTTTGCTAGAGGATGATGCAGTTCCTGCAGTGCTGGTCTCCAGACTAGCAGTGCAATTGAAGGGCCGGTGGGGATCCCAAGTTTGCAGGAACAGCTGGTACAGCTTGGGTTATTGAAAGAAGACCATATTTGCTCAAGCATCTTCCATATTGAGATGTCGCGTCATGATGTTTTCAAGGACTCTGAATGACCTTCGAAACCAGCAGTTCAGCCAATTGATCCATGTGTTTGGGCCCTAGGCTGAGGCTAGGCATTTCAGAATTCATTTCGACCTTGATTTGGGCTTGAGGCTGCGGGCAAAAAGACCAGACAAGAAAGATAGCAAATATGTAAATGCATTGGTGTCCTCTCCTCTGAAGGAGGCAGGCAGTCTATGTTGAGTTGCACCAGCGGGGCTTGACTCAATGTTCGCAGGAATTGTGGAAGCCACCTTTCGAGGCAAAGTTTGTGGGCGCCTTGCCGTGTCCTGTTCAATGCTTGAAGTAGCTCTTTCAACACTCAGGTTTGGAGAGACAAGAAGAAGAATGTCATAGCACAACAGAACGAGGGCCTCTTCTTGCAGGAGAGTACTTTAACGAAAAGCGTGCTTTGCGGATACAATGTGACTTGACAGATGTCGTAAAGCTGACTGTGGACTAGATATATTGGCACAGATGCATCTGCCGATCAGCATACGCATTTGCTCATGGTGTCACCTGCAAGCTGAGTTGGCTGATTGGGAGAATGTGAAGCACATTTATATAATGTGCTTGAACTCGAAAAGGCGCAAAGCCTGGTTCTCATGATCTGGAAATGTCCATTTTCCTTCCTTGTTACGTTTGGTTCCATTGTGAGTGTCTCGTACTGAGAGCAAGAAGACATGCTTCACAAAATCACCAACATTGCAAACGACCTCTCTATATAACATGGCGATCGTCAGAGCTTCTCAGCGCGGTCATCGCCTGCTTGTGCGGGTGAATGTTTCATCACCTGCTTGTACTCGAACATCTTTTGTCAATTTATGCACAACAACGGCTTAAAGAAGGATGCGTTCCTGCCAACACGTTCCTTGCAGGAGAGCTCTCTGTTGGGATGGGCACTATCGCCGTCTGCGCTGGACAGTGCTTTGGTGCCACCCTCAAAGGCACACCTCACAGAGGCGGGTGCTGTGGATGATGAACTACAGAATATATTGGACACAGTAGCTTCTTGTTCCTAGTATTAAGGCCAGGAGCCCCTAGTAGCGTCTTTGCTCCTAGTAGCGATGCCAGGAGCACTAGTAGCGAACATTGTTCCCAACAAACTACTGAATCCTGAGATGATCAGATGACCTCCGATTTCATCAGAAAGAATTGCCAATTCAGATGATGCCTTCCCATCATCCGTCAGCAAGCTATGCGTATGTCGAACGTATCTCTACTGTAGACGTATCAGGCCGGCTCCAAGGAGTGGGACCATCTCACACGAGCCACACGTGGCCGAGTTGAAGGGCTACAGAAAGGCAGGGTCCCAGTGCTTGCGGTGTCCGTTCGGATGGCTGCCGGTGTCCGTTTTGTGTTCTCTCGAAGAGTACCGAATGGCTTGGATGTCGCTTGGATATCATGTCGTGTCTGCAGGTTTGCAAACAAAGCTCGCAAGTTCTCAGGACCAGGTCCCATTCATCAAAGTTTGAAAGCAAAAACGCGTGCTTTGAACGTGACAAAACAAGTGTGCTTAGAGCATCAAGTTTCAGGCAGCAGAATTCGTAGACATCCTGCTTCGGGCAGGGGCAAGCAGCTCAGACTTCAGAATGGACTTGACTTCATTCAGAACTCAGACCCTTGGATGGGAAAACTGTTGGCAGGACGAGCCAAGAGTGGCGGTGTTGGAATGGCTTGGAGCCGACCCCTTAGAGAAATTTCGGCCATGCAAAGGCACGAGTCTATGCCATGAATTTTAACCTGCGTACAGTTTGCTTCTACAAGTAGTTCCCGGGCAAGCCGGCGGCGGAAGTTTCCTATAAGAAGAAATTGACCTATAGGAGTGTCCACGTTCTCTCCAACATGCGCGTCCTCCAGTCAAACGCACGCGCTCCGGACTTTTGACCCACGGGATTCCACGTGTGTAAGGTGTGTGTGCCCCCTGC